AAGTAGTTCAGTATATCATGTAAATACCAGCTTTTTAAAAAACATCTGGCTAGCAGACTATGACAGGGATACCTGCCACAGTAGTAAGAATTGTAAAGTGCAATCATAAACCTTTTAGGACTTTTCTCCTCTGCCAAAACATGAGCACTTTTTTTATCTTCCAAACACAATTTTTTGTTGTTGTATGTTATTTATAGCCAGAGTGGCTGACAGACTGAGTAAAAGAACATCTGAGATAGGCATTAGAGAAGGAAATAGGCAGTAAATGTGATCTCACTTCCTTAGTCAGGAGTTGTGGCGCATCTATAGCTACTCCTTCCATTACTAGAGGAGAATTGAGGAGAAAAAACTTGCTTCAAACAAGCTAATGTACCACATAACACCCCATTGTCAGACACAGCTGTGACAACTTGACTCTTGTTCCCCACTATCTAGGTTTAGTACTATCACTATCCACCAGAAAATCTTAATGGATGACCCGTCTAAAAGTGTCATGACACAGAGAAGCCAAGAAAAATAACCATCATGTGACTAGAATTCCCATTTCCCATCCCCAGGCCAATCATAAATCCACCACTCTGTGCATTTATGTTCTGGAACATGTACCGTTTATAGCCAGACCCGTATGGCCCTGATACAGCTTGTGCGGTTGTGCCATTTATAGAGGGAACACAATTTATTTGAAATCAAAGCCTTGGACACCTGAGGGACAATTCTTAATTTGCTGTTGAACGATCTCACTTTGATCTCATTGCTTTTACAGACAGACCGCCATTGTGCAGCAGGGGCTGCAGCTCCAGTGTTAGACAGGGGATAGGATTTGGTGAGAACTTTTGCAGCCAAGCATGGTCCCCTGATCCCAGAAGACTCCCTCTCTCTGTATTTCTCTAGCTTTCTGTCTGACTGACTTCTACTTGTTCTTGATTTCAGCTCTTTTTGGGGGGCAGAAAGACAATGTCTCTTCTTGTTCATTTGTCCCTTTAAACCTTCTGCACTACCCTCATGCAAACTGAATCAAATAAGCCTTCTCTTTCTCTGGCTTTAAAGCTGTACTTGAGACAAAAGTACCTATAGAACTTAGAACAGTTACCTATCCCTGTATTCATACACTTATAATTCCTCACAACCAGGCTGCAAACTTTTTGTTAAAGTAAAAACTGCTCTAATTTAATGAGTAAAGATACGGAAGTTAAAAGCAATTCTCCATTAACAGTTGGATCATTAATTATAATTTCAATCTCAGGTTATATCCTGGGAGTACCAAAAACTAAACAACTTTCTTTGAATCACAAACTACTAATTGCGTTTATATTTTTGTGCAGTGTCTTGACACATTTCTGTCTTGTCTATTTTTTAGTCATTATACAATTGCAAAAGTGATTTTAAAATTCAGTGTGCTTCCTTCTGTTGTTTTTAAAAAACAAATGTGTTTAGCCTATATCTTGCTATCTATGCTGTTCTCTCAATAATCAGTTAGTGTCTGACTGTCTTGAAATATTCATATAAAACACTTTTTGGACTTTTAAACACAAAATATTCACTTGGAAGCATGTTTTAGGGCATAATCTTGCACTTTAGTGCATTTCGGGGACTTTTTGGTGATTTTTGAAATATTCATATAAAACACTTTTTGGACTTTTAAACACAAAATATTCACTTGGAAGCATGTTTTAGGACATAATCTTGCATTTTAGTGCATTTCAGGGACTTTTTAGTGATTTTTGAAATATTGACATAAAATACCCTTTTGACCCCTCACTCATGGTTTTGGGTCATTTTTGAAATATTCATATAAAATATTTCTTGGACTTTTAAACACAAAATATTCACTTGGAAGCATGTTTTAGGGCATAATCTTGCACTTTAGTGCATTTCGGGGCCTGTTTTATTTTTATGTATTTTTTCACGATGGTAAGGCATCAGTTGTACTTTTATTACACTCAGACATTGTGTTCTTTTTATTCAGTCTTTTAACCATACTGCTAAAGTAAATGATCTTGTCTCTGAGTCATTTTTATTTATTTATGCACCTTGGTGGGAAGAAAATATTCAATTTCCTTTACAAACACTCTGACCCTGAACAAGATTAAGAGTCTTGCTCATACAAGCACAGGCTTGTGTAAGGTCTGAGGCTGTTGAGATGTGTTTAAATGTGGCCATTTGCATCAGTGTTTTTACTTTGGCTTCATGGTTATATTTGAGGTTAAACAATATGGCCTAGCAGTGTAACTAATAACACCTAACATGAAGTTCTGCTTTGTATCCTCAGAATTTCATTAAGCCTAAGGCAAAATAAAATACAAGGCACTTGAGTAAAAAAATAATTAGGTCAACAAAACAGTCAAAGCAACTGAGTGAACCAAGGTTACGCTGTGATAAAGACACACAAAATAAATGAAAAATCATTCACCGATTCTATAAAATTGACCCAGAAATATCACCACCACCATCATCATACCAAATGAAGGCAGACAAAATAAGACGATATGATTTAAAAAAAGCATCAGAGTTAATGAGGAGAGGAAGCCTGACGAAGGTCCACACCAACAACTCACTTATATCAACTCTGCTAGATTAAATGCCATGACAGATAAATTAAATGGGATTAGCAAATTTACCATGATCTTAGAAATGAATATGACATACCATTTCAATTTCATATTATCTTCACCAAACTGGAATATTGAGTGGGATCAAATGCAATTTTAAGAGAACTACAGAAAAGGGAGTTTTCAAAAGCAATACTTTGTACAGACACCACCTGGCAGACTTCATGGAATGGGAGGCCCATTCTTTATTCAGAAATTTTAAATTAAGTACTTCTGAGGGGTTAAGTTTAATTGGCAAGGTTGTAAACTTGCTTCAGTTCATATCGGACACGGAAAGTCTCTTTGTCGAGCTCCCCGTGACATTCACTTCACACAAGTGGGTCTAAATAGAGCATATTTTCTGTCTTCTTGCCCAGTTTGAGCAGCTAACTAAAGAGATCTTTATTATTATTACCATAATTATTATTATTATTCTTTGAAACATTAATATTAAAGTATGCAATTGCAGTGCCTTGATTTTAGTGCCTTGAGTTGAGTACACAGTAATAGCCCTAAATGCAATGGTACTAATAATTGACAATTTTTTTCGGTGCTTCGGTTTTGGCCTCAGTTTCCTCATTTTGGATTCGGACAACAAATTTAATTTCGGTGCATCCCTTGTAAAAATCCCTTTCTTTATGGGCGTCTCTCCATCACCCACAACAACAGAAGCTAAATTTAACCACCTATATTGCTGTTGAATCTACAAACTAGAATGGATGGTTTCATGCGGCCTCCACACACACACAGGACAGCACTTTTGGTATTCTCTCCAGGTTGACTTAACTTGACAGCATTTGTGTGGTGTGAGATGGGGTGGGCTGCACATATAAGCCAAGGCTACTTTACACACACACACACACACACTCAGACACAAACACAAGCACTCACACCAACCTAGATTTACTTTGGGGCTGACAGGCGAATGAAGCGTGGAGACAGAGAAATAATATCCAAGATCACACTAAATATGATAAATAAGTGCACTTTGATGTTGGCCTCGGCTTTAAATACAATTCTGAGGTGCTGTGAAGCTGATTTATGACCGTATCTGAGTGCAAAAAGAAAAAAGGCCCTGCAAGACTAACAATAACTGGCAAGGCAATAACTTGTGCAACCAGGTTACTCGCAGCCAGCAATACAGTACATTAGTCGAAGGACGCTCCTTTGAACAAAGATGGTGCTCACACATTTTCCTCAACCTCTAGAAACACCAGAAATAAAGATTAATCTATACAGGGCCAAAACCCATACCATTCTTTGGGAAGGAATCTAAATTGTGCAAGCAGAAAACAATGTTAAAAAAAAAAAAAAAAATCAAGGTCCAGCATAGGTCCTGTTTGGGTCTAACTTCTGTATTGAGGTTTACACTTCGAGCTAATGAGTCGATGTTTAAACAATTAAAGCCATAACGCCACCACTCTTTACACACATGTTACACTTTATCCATACTTATTATATGGCACCTTAGGTAGTCCATGGGGGCTACCAGGTGCCCCCAGGCACTAGTTGGTGACCCCTGATCTAAAGTAACTGGGAAACAGTCTACAAAAGCAGACTGATGAAGCGTGCCTTTTTTTTTAAGCCAGAGACAAAGTCAAAAACAACCTGAAAAAAACAAAATATTCCTTACAGTGGAAGGGGCAGGCTAGTAGATTTGTAGAAAATTACTCAGTCAATTCTGTTGCTGACACTTCCAGCAAATTGCTTCTAGCTCTGACCAAAATGTGCAAATGAAACATGCATTTAAGCCTCTTCATGCACAATGGGGAGTGGGAATTCAGGTAGATGAAAAGGGGGAAATATCTCATTTTAGATTCAGTAATCTCAGCATCACCCTCATTTGTTTTTTAACAGCCGGTGCTCAGCTGTGGCTATTACATGGCAGTTCATATGTGTGCAAATGCCCGGGCGAGTTCACTGGATAAGCCAGGAGCAGATGATCTGTTATTTACTGGACAGTAGGGTAAAATAATCATCCTGCAAACAGGATATTGCTCTACAGCCTCTAGCAATCCCTTAACTGCCTGAGGCCTTCTCTCCCATCAGTTGTGGAGACGATGTAGAATACCAACAATGGTACATTAGTGCTGTACCAAATCCCTGGCATGCAAATAAAGCTACTCAGCAGAGCAAGTCTTAATTACAGTGAACCAGCATACTTTCTGTTGATAGCAACAACTAATGTAGGCAAAACTGCTGTCAGAACAAAATATCTATATGCTTCGAGTGAATGCAAACATTAAATGATGGCTAGACAGAAACACAGTGGTTACTGTTGGTTACTGCTGGTGGCAGATGGTGAGGCGTTCAGACCAACAGCATGAACCAAAAACCAGCATGAATATTTGTGGTGAAATTTCCAACCATTGGCAGACAATGTCTCACCCATTTGCTGATAAATGGCTTTTGTACTTTTCATATTAAAGCGAACACTGTATGTAAAAAAGTGACAGTGCCACTGAAGGCTGCGGTTGCCAAAAGTCCAAGGAACAATTAAAAATACACTTTGGTTGCCAAACTTTAGGTAATATTTTGCATCACAATCATCATCATCAATCATTTTAATAGAACACGATGGCAAGTTGGTAAAACAAATAAAAAATAAATAAAAACACACAATCCAACGTAGAGTAGAAAAGAATGACAACAGAGCACACTGCATCTGTCAAAGTCATGCATGGTTGCAGACAAAGGTAATGGTAAATGCTAGAGGTGTGCATGGGCAACGATCTAGTGATTTGAAACGTATCACGAAACAGGGGCAAAGTGACAATATATTGCACTATAATGCAATACTTTACGCAAGACTATATATTGAGGGGTTTTTTTAAACAATTTAATTGTAGGAACACTGTTAGTATAGTAAACACAGAATACAGTTACATGTTTAACATCAGGTTACTAAAATTGGAAGAGCAGTCTCTCAACTCTCAAAACTTCTGTACAACTGAATCATCCCAGAGCAAAATACATATAATGTTAATAACCATTGCTCATTCAGAGCTGCATTAGCCGGTGGACGTGTGACTATATTTTTTTATTCTGTGGGTAAATCAAGTAAAGGTGAAATTATTATTATTATTATGCATCAGCCTCTCTCCCTGGAGGTCTCTTTACTTGTTATTGTGCCTCATTTTCCACAGGCTATTTGAACCGGTTTCCTCTGGAGTGTATACAGTGATGATTTTAAGATCTGCTGAGGCAGCCAAGGTAGCAAAGAGCAATGGGAGCGCCTTCTCAAAAGCTGCAGTAAGCAAAGTAAACATAAAAACATAATCACATTCATGGAATACCTGTGCAAAGTTAAACACAAGGGGAGTAAGGAGAATGACTTCTCGAAGCACAACAATAATTTTAAAAGACTTAAAGTTATTATTCTCAACTCCAAACTCTTAATTGTTTTTCCAGGGCCTTCATGTTGCAATTTCAATCTAATGAGCAGTTTGAAACCTTTGTTCTAATCTACAATCAACTATTTTTTGCTAGTCTTTAAAATGAGGTTCTATCTTGAGACACTTCCTTAAAATTGGTAGCTGTAGTATACCAAGGAGTACTACAAGCTAAAAGTATGACCCAGTATGATTCATTTCTCTTTTGTTTTTCTGTTTTTTTTAAATACATTACATATATTAAGGATCTCCATTTTATTTTATTATAGACACTTTTTGGCTCTTAAGTAACTTATTTTAACTAACTGTTTTGTGTGTGTTTATTTTTGAGGCCATATATTAGACACTGGAAGTTTTTTCTTCACTGTTTTTATTCATGAAAATGAGAGACTTGTTATGCAAAAGTATCATTATTTTGTTTGTCAAAGAGGGATAAGATCCTCAATAGGCATCAATGAAAGCTAATGCTACAACATAAAGTAATTTAATAGGCTATCTGAAATGTGCTCTTGATTTATGTATTTGCATATTTGTTTCATTATCATAATCATATTGAATGGAGAGGAGGCAAGAGATTTCCCAGCTCTTGTTATTAATAAAATCCCCAATGTATAAAAATACTTCACTGGGTTCAGCCTTGGTTCATGTCCCTTAAAAAAAAAAAAATCACAAATACTAAGTCCTTTTATCCAAACACCAAGACACAACAACAAGACACACGAACAGGACTTAAAGCTGCATTTCCTTTCACGAAATCTGCATATAAAGTGTGGTATTACATTATAATCTGTAAATACTGTCCTGATTTTGACAGCTGGATTTTATTATAACAATTTGTTCCTTCCCAGTGTGTGGGTTTTAGCCGCAAACCACATTTAGAAATACATGAAATCAATCATGCAAAGTGATATGAAATCAGGAATCTGGTTCTGTCCATTTAACAAGAGTTGAGTTTACAAAAGAATGGTGAAATAACTTATGTTGCTTCTGAGTCCAAACTAACTAATCCATTATTTAAACCAAATGCAAAAACATTAGCCATCATATAAGTTGATGATGTTAGAAATCTACTATTGAATATTTCATTTATTTTACCAGCTAACCAAACCAGTAGGGCTCTGACAAATTCCTGTAATTACTAGAACTAACCACCAGTACAACTACAAGTCTGAGGCGTTTTTAAAACTAGCACAGGGTGTTCTGTTTTGCTTAACACATTTCTAAATTGAATGTTTGGTAATTTCTATATCATTTATAATTGGGTCAATAATTGGGCAAAATATTAAAAGAAAAGATAAATGTTTCCTAAACTATAAACACCATACATTTACAGATAATTGGAAACACTGTGCCTAAAAACTAGATTTCAGTTCCTCCATAGTTGCTTACTGGAGGAGAGGCTCCCATCCAGCACCAACGGTGCAATCACACTAGGAGTGTTCTACCACGTTAAAGCACGATTGCCCCCCTTAAGCATGGATTCTAGTGCTAGAACTGCAAATGCGCTCACACAATCCAGGATGCGGAGCAGTTGGTTGCCTGCTACAGCACGGTTGGAAGTTGTGGGTTAAAGCATGAAACCCAGGGTCAATTTGCACACATGCATGGTCAAGTACAACTCCTGCTGCCTCCACAAAAATCTGCAAATCGCCACCACACGCAGTCAATAAATCAAGACAAAGGCATGGGCTAATAGTTTCCCTTGCAGCCAATGCAATGCAATGCGTGTGTCTGTCTGTCTGTCTGTGCACTCCACTCACAAATGTGTCAAATCCTTTCTTCAGTCTTGTTTCAAGCCTGACATCAAATGCACGTTAGGTGATGTGTATCTTAGACTCAAATGCAGGCCCAAAACATTTCTACATTTCTATAAATGTCACCTTATTTCCAGCATGGCAAGTAACCATCAATGCAACCAAGTCATGTTTTTGCCTTTCTGTGTCACTGGACAATAAAATTACATTATTTCAAGCAGAAAGCATCTTAAGCACCACAGGGCTTACAAGATTGAAAAATGAAAAAGCTGGAGAAAAAAAGGAGATGAAGACACAACACTCAATGGTCCCTACTGTGAAACTGCTTGAAAATTGAACTTGAAATTGCTTTTAACACCTTGCCCAGCTTTCTGTACAAATAATGACCCTTTTCAGAGGCATGTACAAAAGCTCCTCAATAGAAATGTCCTTTGCACCTACTGTTCAAAATTTACTTTTTATTTACTGTTTTATTTAAGCTCCAAGTCCTGTAAAAATCATTAGCACATACAGAGACAAAGTGTGTCAAACAAATAGATTCTTCTCTGTGATTAGTTTGAATACATCCGCTTGCACCGCCCCAAAAGTAAATAGAGGCTTTAAAAAAACCCACAGACACATTTAAGGAGCCATTATTTTACAGCTAAATAACAATGATTAAGCACTTCAGCTGAACAAATTGATGGACAGTGAGACAAATAGACCCAATTAAATAAACACAGTCTTTGTGGTTCCACAGAATTGGGGTAACATTGTGGTAAAGTGTTAAAAAAATAAAAACTACTCAGCATTAACACAGTAAAATATAGTTTCAATTACTGAATGAGGGTACAAGGTGTTTACAAAAATAGGGAAATGTCAATGTCCTTGAATTGTTTTTGAATTGTTGAAGTGAGCCAGTGGTGGCTGGACAAACCTGAATGTCTAATGCAAAAGCTGCAGCCAGAAGTTGGCCAACAGCAGGCAGTCATTTCCAAGCCTATTTAAGCAGTTACTAAAGCTTTACAAAGTCCAAGTAAGTTCTCCCTCATCAAATTCAACTGTGTCTGCCCTTGGGATGAAACAACAGGCCAAGGTGACAGAAAAGTACCATTTACATGAAATTAACATTTTTTAAGCCAAATAAGACAACAATGAAGAAAAATATTAAAAGCAGGTCAATTACAAAGGCAGACAGCAGTAAGCAAAAGGCAGCAACGAAAGAAAGGAGAGAAGAAAGAACACCTGTGCTGATGTGTAGCTTAATGCTGAAAAGAGCATCTATCACTTGACATTCTCTGCCCTAGTTGTCACAACAGACTGCCTAAAAAGCAAACAGTGACACACACCCTTTCTTTGTGTCCATTCAGAAATTAGGTGATTGGGTAAAGAATTTAAGATTATCCTCATCATAAATGGTTGATAAAGAGATGTGAAACTTAATTTTCTTAGATCATTTTCTAAGCTTAAATTAACTTTCAAAGATATTGTACAATCAGTCATGGTGCTAATTATCAGCAAACATTCAAACACAAAATCCTCTTGGCTGCAGGGCTGATCCACCCAAAATATACATGTTTTTGTTCATGCCAGAGCATTAAAACAGAGAAACACTTGCTCCACAAGTGTTTTTCATTTCTCATGCAAAAACTCCAAATCATGTCAATACCTTAGTTCTTCTGAGATGTTTTGTTATAGACATGTCGGAAATATAAAGAAATATATGGAATATTCCCTTACCTGTGTCTGTGCTCATCATGTCCTCCCTGTCCGTGTATGATCACTTGTCCAGAAGCATGTTTCCCTTCTTTGGGTGAGTCAATGTGAGGAATGAGAACATCCTCTAATCCCAGGTCAAAGCGCTTGTGCTTGGAATTGTCCGGCAGGAAGAAGAAGGCCCCGAAACATAAAGTGATGAAGGCACTGAGAATGAGGAGGAGGATGAACTTCTCTGAGAGCCTCAGCGTAGCTCTGTGGTGCGGGAAAGAGGAGGTGCCTGGTGAGAGAGTGGGTATCCTGCGGCCCGACAGTGGCAGAAGGGCCGGTGTCGTCATGATTTAAATTTAAAAGAGATCTGACTCAGGGGCAGGGCAAGGGCTTCAGGGGCCTGGGCGGGATAGAATGGGCTGGGTTCAAAAATGCTACAATAGTGTTGTGGAAGCATAAACCAAGTTGATTGTTTTATTATCTCATCCCTGTATGTTCACGCTGAACTCCTCCAGAGAAGGAATGACTGGATGTCAAGAGAATGGTCATGACGATTCTGGACAAAAAGACATCAGAAATACAGCGTTACTTAGAAGTACTCAGGTATAATTCATAACACCAAGTCACATGTACTGCATTTGTTGTTCTGGTAAGCTCATTGATTATACTTTTATATTTGAGGACCTTATCATTACTTTGTGTGAGATGTCCTAAGGCAGGGATGAAACACTGATAGATGATTAGCAATTAAAATAAAAAATAAATACATTTAGTTCTATAGCGTGTACTAGTGTTCGTATACTGTATGGATTTAATCAGTGCCTCATCAAATGAAGTATACGCTATCATTTCAACAAGAACTCAAGGTAAAAAAAAAAACCTTACAATCATTCACAGTAAGGAATGAAGTACATCATAAATCAAGGCAAATAGGTATTATTAGTATAGCACACTATCCATCAATATGACACCTCTGATATAACACTTCAAACAACATCAACTAGAGTCTTACTGACACAGAAGCAAAACATTTAGCCTCAAATATTTAAACTAAACTTAAACATTGGTTAATTGACCAACCAATGAATGGAATCTACTGATTTTTACCATGATCAGCCCTGGCCTGCTACCAGCCGGACAACCTCTCTGGTTTTGCTGCTGATTATTTAGTGTGCTTAAACTCATATGCCTGAGCTAACATGTTGTTAGGTTAGAAATCCTTTTAAGCTAAAAGCTTGTTTGTTGTGATACATGTAACAGTGAGGTTAACTGTGGGGGAGTCACCACAATGTCATTCGGAACAAAGAACCATATCTCACCGTAGCCGAGTTGTGTCATGCCATGTTAGCAGCTTTCTGCAGGCTCATCCCTAAAGCAACAATTAGTTTAACAACTGAGGTTTGAACAAGTGACGTTAGTTTAATGTCCATGCTGAGTTCAATAGCTCAGCGGACAGAAACAGACTGTGCAGACCTTCTGTACAAGCTTTTGTCAAATAGCTGGATGCAGAGGAGCCAATTTTCATTTTGCACCTCATTCCAGTCATCAATCACTTCAAACAGAACCTCTGATTGAGTGCAGTTGGTAAGATAGAATTTCATCCTGAACAACAACTTACTTAGTTTTATATTTTGGCAATTGAAAATAAAAATTGGAATCAGCGAAAACTGCAAAAAAAAAAAGACTTACAAAAAAAGGAAATCTGTCAAAAGACTGCAAGATGTCCTCTTTTATATATTTTGGAAATTCCTAACCCTCTAATTTGGCAGTTTGACCTTGTAACAGTACATGAGAGAGCAATAATCTAAGCCGCAATCAGCATTTTATTTGGAAGTAAATAAGATTAATGAGGAGAACACAAACTCTGAAATGAAGAGTGATTGTAATTTAATTGTATGAGGAATAAATCATTTACAAGAAGACTAGTATGTCTATTTATCTACAGAAATGGGACAAACACCTCTAGATGACAGATGACAATAAAATTATAATGTCCCCCATGTCACATTAATATGAATCAAACATAAGCAACTGCTAGATTTGGTCATTGGCTTGGCTAGCAAGAACATTAGGTTGTGCCCAGCTCATATAAATGATGGTCTTTCTGAATTAAGTTTGCAAATCTGCATTATTTTAAGGCTCTTTGGTCACGATGTAAAAACATAACAAACCACTGTTAGTAGTTAGTTAGTTTAATAGGATCTAGGTGTGTTGAAACGATGCAATTCTCCATCAATTCTTAAATAATCAAAACAGAAGCCTGACGACTAGAAGCAGTGTGTTGCAAACCAATCAATGAAAGCTGCGATTGGGCAGTCAAATAATTGGAAAACGAGATTTAAAACTGGGCACCTTAGCCTTAAAACCCCGAAGCTTATTGCACAGGTAAAAACAAAAACAAAATCTAAGCAAAGTAAACGTTTGCCTCCAGCTGTTTGTAAGTATAAAGGATGGATATATAGCTAAACGAACTGTCAATTTAAACAACAAACCAAACCCTTGTTTTTAAATGTTATCTGTGTTAAAGCATTAATGTATTAAAGTCCACGTTTCTGTTTAGTTAATAGTTGTCTCCTTGTCTGCGTGGAGCTACGTTACCTCTCCAGTCCTTTCGCTGAATAACCAAATTCATTCTCTGACACTGTCAGTCTCTATGGGAGCTAATGCTACTTACCCGGCTAACAGCTTCTAGATAACGGCTAGTGATAAATAGCTACCTAATGGCGTACGTCGCTTTAAGATGTATTAAGTGTTTTCGGAAAGTACGCCTACTCCCGCTGACATTTAAGGTAGTATGAGAGGACTAGGAGTTCGGGAGGAGACAGCCTTTTGAGTGCTAGTTGGCTAACTAGCAGGCTAAGAGGCTATGCTGCTAACGCGGAGCTACAGAATGACCAGAGGCAGACGCTCTCTCTCTCTCACTCTGCTGCTGCTGCTGCATCACCACCTCTCATTCGTACGCTGAAAAATGATGCCAGGTCCCGGTCTTCTTCAAGGGAGAAGCCTCGGTAGCAGGTTTCCTCATGTTCACCACGAACGCGTATAATGTGAGATGGTTCTGGTCCAACCGCCTCGGTTCCTTCAGAGACAGCACGGCGATAAAGGCGAGAGGATGATGTTGATCAGTGGCCGCTGTGTGTGACTGCAGCGACGGACTGACGGAGCTGCTGCCGCTGCTGCCGAAGTTGGTGATGATGATCAGTGAATCCAGCATCAACTACTCAGCCTGTTGAGTTAGGGCACCGTTCGATAGTTTCCTTTACACTAATTCGTCGTAATTAATTGTGTTGTATAAAAAAGTGTATTTTAAATTATTTATTCGTTTATTTGCCAATAAATATATCAACGTGACATTATTGTTTTATTGTATTGTGAAATTAATTTAATCAGGTCCTGCATTGTGTATTGCCCAGGGATAAACTGCAATACTTTGAGTTATAAAGTTGAGATATAATTAAGAATTTTAAAAATGTTTGATTTTTCTTGAATGCGTTTGGTAGTGTGTACAACAAAATTGCAAACTAAACCCAAGAATGACGTTTTTATCATGTCAACATTTAAACATTATATCTTCTTTAATATCAGATGATAATGGATCTGACAAAAACGAAGAAATCAAGGACAATGTCCTTGTTCACCTGGATGTTATGTAACGTAATGCTGAAGCCAGTCAATACCACATCATATAAAACAGGTGTGCACTACAGAAACACTTAAGCTAGGGGTTAACAATCAAGTAAACACAACTCCACTGGTCAAAATATCAGTTCAGCGTTCAACAGCTAACTTTTTTTTTTTTTTTTTTTAACTTTTAGGCATTAACATACAGTGCCTTGAGTCTTGGGCAGTGTAAATGTGCTCAACGATACACAATTCTGAGACAATGTTTGTTTTCTGCTTGGAAATCTGAAAAATCTAAGCCTCTCAGTCTGTTACACCAAGGTCCACGGAGAACATCTCAATTTCCTCCTCTAGAGTAAACAAGAGCTGCCAGTCTGCTGCTGCCTCGTCTTGAACGTGAATCACTGCAGTAAACACAAACAAAAAGTGTTTTACCCACGAAATCACAAAAACACTCTAAATGTAGTAGTGGCAGTGAAAGTGAATAAATAGCTCCAGTATGCTTTGAGGTACAGCTTATGGATTTGTGTATTAGGTCATTTTTTAAATATTTGTTGTTGACAATTGTGCAATAGTTTTACTGGTCTTCTTATAGCGGTAACTAACTGCAGGTTATAGGTGACACATTTTGTGAATTATCCTTTTGTATTCTGTTATTTTAAGTATTGTAAGAATCCTTTTTCTGTGGCTCTGTGCATGAATTTCTTGGAACACGTGTTTTGGTTTACCACGATTCATCTCACTGTACTCTACGCCATGCATCGTACACTATATGAAAGGGAAATCTCTTATCAGACAAACTCTCTTCAATCAAACGCAGCATGAGTCCTGTGACCATCAAGGATACAGTTTGACATCTCAGCGCCCCGTCGCTGTAGTACTCTGGGAGTTGTCTTTTATTGCCGACGACACTGACTTCTCTGTCTGTTATTAAAGCACGGGGACACCACTGAATGTGAGACAGGTGTCACTTTGCTTTCAGGAGCGTTTCTTCCAGTTTTCCCTTCACCCTGGCCAAGAACGCTTGCACAGCCAAGCGCTCACTCACTCAGTTTTTTTTTCCAAAAGTGAAGGGTGTAA